AAGTTAGTAGATTTATGAGTAATTACTCCCCTTAGTCGTTTTAATAATCTATACAAAGAAAATATTTATTTACATTTAGACAACATTAGTTCCGGAGCGAAATTATTCCTAATTTTCTTAGACCGAAGTCGTATTTGTTCAAGCCTTTCATGTGAGGCACTCAGATATCTTTGTCTATTAAGTGACCATCTTGCTTCAACTTGCTTTTGAAATAGACTTTGTCATCGCCGTCTTCTGTTGCTAATCTTTTTCTATCAGGGGGGTATTTCCATTTCACTGTTACATTAAATGCAGAAAAGTTTTAACATGAAAAGATATTGAGCAAAACGTTTTTTATATAATACCAGGAATAATCAATGACTCATAGATACCATTGAGCGTGTAAAATGTATAAAAGAAACGGATTAATTAAATGGTTCATTGGCTTCTATTTTAATTGTTAATTCTTTATCTCTGCTTCATTGAATCTCAGTACATTGTTTCAATACTTTTGTTTCAATTGCTTCTCATCATTAAAACTTTCTAACAATTGCTGTCATTTTTGACGTCACGAGTACACTGATAATAATAATAATAATAATAATAATAATAATAATAATAATAATAATGTGACATATGGGAACATCAATAATCCCTGTTGTAGTTGGAGCCCTAAGACTGGTTGGAAAAGATTGCAGTAGACTAATTGAAGAGATTCCTGAAAGTCCATGCCTCAAAGAGATACAAAAAATTGTTTTGACAAGTACAGCCCACACTTTACGAAGGGCTTTATCTATGTATTTTTTTTTTTTTTTTTTTTTTGTCAGTGGAAAGTGTCATGGTGCCATTTCTAACCTAGGTCCCTGGGCGGGACCCGGAAAGAAATGTGTAAACGCCAGAAATCAAAGAAAATAATAATAATAATAATAATAATAATAATAATAATAATAATAATAACAATCCTGTTTGTTCCTTCGTTCCTTAGCATTACGTCAGATAAAAAAGCTATTTCAAAAGCGCTGTTTGGTCTTAGGGAAAAGAAAGAAAGAAAGAAAGAAAGAAAGAAAGAAAGAAAGAAAGAAAGAAAGAAAATGGTAGAAGAGGTGATAATATTCACACACACACGCGCGCGCGCACGCGCACGTGTTTGGAAATAAAGTAAACATTCCCATCACTATAGATACACATGTATATAAAAATCTACATATTCAGTTTAAAAAAAAAAAAGAATCCTGAATTCAAAACCTGAGGATGGTCATTTAGAGATTTTGGCGCACACTATGTATCTCTGTATTTGGTCCTTCCGAAAAATATGGCTGGTTTTGAACAAGCATTCACACCGATAATCAAATCATATATGTGGGTAGTCTGGCTATTCGGTCCTAAAATTGACAATTATTTTTAATGTATTTTCTGTTTATATGTTATTTTTATAGATACAAATAATTAAGTAAATTCTCTGTTTATAATAAACAATATTAACTACATTTGCCGGCTTGAATGTCCGAGAAATTTCGTAGAAAATATATGTTTTCCGACAGGAATCGAACCTGTATCCTATACGGCACCGTCATTTAGCCTGACGTGCTATATCATTTAGCTACAGGGGAAGCGCCTGGTTAGTAAATCAAATTATAAAAAGAGTATTGACTTAAATATTTGTATCGATAAAAATAACGCATAAACATAAATATATTATATATAGAGAGAGTTTTGTCTGATGATCACAAAAGCATTAAACCTAGGGTTACAAACTCATATCCGTACAATTTATTATATATATATATATATATATATATATATATATATATATATATATATATATATATATATATATATATATATATATATATATATATAATGTCATATGTAAAATCTATGTATCAGAATAATGGTAGATAACTGACTGAGAAAAATTATATGCAACGCGTTTCTTTCCTCAAAATGACTTCTTCAGACTAAATAATTCGTCCTGGGTAAGACGTTAAACTGCATCCGCGTCCTGGGTGTATATATATATATATATATATATATATATATGCGTTTCAAAAGAATTAATGAATTTTATTTTTTAATTCGACATACTTTTATTACTTTAAACATTATTTTAAGTGGATACACGTATCTGAGTAGACGTTCGGTTTATTTTAAACGGTATTTCATTTCGTCTATTCGTTTGCACATTCGAGAAAAATATTAAAGAAAATGCGCCTTCCGTCAAGATTCGAATTTGCGTTTCCCTTTACAGGAGATACCGCCGTTGAATCTCAAAATAAAAAATAAAAATGAGGAAGTTCAGTGATTTATTTTGAGAATTAATGGCAGTGCTAATTTTAAAAGAATGATACAGCTCATCTCAATCGCATTATCATAGACTGACGCCAAGAAGTTCAATTTAGTCTTGGTTTTCTGTTCCAGCAAAAATCGAAGGGACTGAAGAGCCACCCCAGTCTTCTCTATTGCGCCGTGGTTGACCATGGCGGTTCTGTCTTATATAGAGAAGGAGAGTTGAACTACATCCATATTAGCAATAGATTAATTGATGTCAGATTTTGCTACCAAACAGTCACTCACGAGAATAAATTAGATGATGTCAAAACTACTTAATGATTACCAATAAGGTAAAACTTTATTGGTTATGATAAGTGAAACAATAAAATCTAATGAATCTTTTACGCATCTAGGAGCGAAATAAATTCTACTGAAAAGGATGTGAAAATTAGCAAAGTTAAATTCTAGGCGCAGAGTATTGCAAGACAGGAGGATTTCTTTGGTAACAAAGAAAGAATACTGAGCTGTTACGTGACATCAGTCCTTCTTTACGGCAGCGAATGTTGGACGATTTCCTCAAAGATGAAGAAGAAACTCGAAGCGACAGAGACATGGTCCTACAGAAGGATGCTGAGGATATCACGGACAGAGCGTGTGAGCAATGATGAGGTCTTAGAGAGGTTGCAAAAAAGGAGGAGGCTTATACTTAACAACAGGAAGATGCAACTGGAGTTTCTGAGACATATAATGACGAAGAGGGGCCTGAAAAATCTGATACTCACGGGTATCGAATAGAGGGAAAGAGAAACAAGAGAAAACAATGCGTGACGTACCTGACGGGCTTAAGTAAGTAGATGACAGAACGTGGTCTGGGGGAGGAAGCAGAGGGAAGGGACTTGAGAGCTGCAAGAGATAGAGGGAGGGGGGAGAGCCATGACCGCCTACGTCCTAAACGGAAATGGCGCATAAAAAGAAAGAAAGAAATTCTGGGTCGCCTTGAATAAAATGGATGTAATCTGGAAATCTGATCTATCAGACAACCTCAAGCGGAGATTCATTCGCGCCACTGTAGAGGCGGTGTTAATGTATGACGTCACTGCTTGGACATTAACTTAACCCCTAGAGTCTAAGTTTGGTGGGACCAACACTCGGATGTTGAGATCTATACTTAACATCGTTTGGAGACAACATCCAACTAAATCACAGGTCAATGGCCCCTGATATTTCTACAATCTTACGTGAACGCAGAATGCGCTTTGCAGAACACTGCTGGCGAGCAAAACAAGAATGCGAATGATCTACTGCTCTGGAAACCTAGCCATGACGCCCGGCATCTACTTATGTTGACCAGTTACTGGCTACAATATTTAGCTATCCCCCCACGTGGGATTGAATGTGGCACAAGGCCAAGTTTATTGTGGGTCATCCGAGCCCGTAGGCCCGGCCAAAAATATAGCCTAAGCGGGCTCGAAAGCTGTCAACCTCCCCGAACGAAACCTTGCTCTTCGGCAAAGCTTCGTCCGGGTTCCTCCCTGCTAATGCAAAGAGTTAGACAGACGGCACTGACTGTAACTTAATACAGTTACTGGCTACCTGACGATCAGGTAGTTAGTCAATTGGAGTTGGCCGCGTGCTCAGCTCTGACCTGTTGTTCGAACCCTCTGACATCCGGGATGGTAAACAGACCCGACCCCGTTTATGCGAGGTCTACGGGGGATTTTTGGCCGAGCCTATGGGCTCGGATTGCTCCACACTAAATCCGGCCTTGTGCCACATCCTACCTCGTGGGGAGGTTGGTAAATATTACTTATATTGACCAGCTATGTTATAATGCCATCCAAATGACATTCTGACCTTGGTGTAGGAGCGTAATGGTAGGTGTTATAGACTCATTAATGTTCCGAACTAACTCGCCTGAATGACGAACTAGATATTACCAATGGTCGTAAATGCACGTCTTATGGCCTGGATTGCGTTTTAAATCAATCAAATGTAATTATTTGCTTGATTGTTTAACCTTCCTAATTAGGCAACCCTAGACAGTTTTAATGTTGCTTATATTAAGGAAAACTAAGCAATAAATTAAATTAACTTCGACACTCATTCCGAATATGATTCATATAATTAAACTCATTTGCACAAAGAAATCTAATCTGTCCATCGCCAGAAAGTCTTAGTCGATCTTGCAACGTCTGACATTGTGCTGGGTTGGGTTAAATAGGCCAGACTTGGATTGGCATTTTTTCCAATCGACTCTTGATCTTCTGCAGTGTATATTGATAAATTCCGTCGATGAATATTGCTTTTAGATCGAGGATGGCCGGCTTCTCAGTTAGCTGAGTTTAAAATCTCTCAGAGACCGAAGTAGAAATCCGTTTGATCGCCAACAAACCCTTTTCTAGAGGAAAAAGCGTCCATTCAAAGTCAATTAGTGAACCGCGCACCTTAATTTCTCTTTTCGAGCTTTGGCAAAACCGCCTTTCCTTGTTCTAATCCTCATCTTTATCTCAGCTTCAACAACCACATCCTTATCTCACCCTCTTCGATGTCAAAAGAAAGAACCACAATCTATTATTTTCTCTTTTTTTTTTTCATTATTTTTTTTTTGTCACTCTCTTCACCTTTCTCTCTCAAGTTTCCTTACTTTTTCATTTTTTTCCTTTTTATCTTTAATTCTCGCTGTCTATTGCTTGATTTCTTTTTCTTTTTCATTTCTTTCTTTCTTTTTTCTTGCCACCTCAAATTTCCAGCCTTTCTTTTACTATTCACGCCGTACGCTTTCTTTCTTTCTTTCTTTCTTTCTTTCTTTCTTTCTTTCCCCTTTGTAGGAACTTTTCTTCCTCCTCTAACAAGATGTGTCTCTTATTTACCCATATTTATTTGTTGTTTTTTCTCATTTTTATATTCCACGGTTTTCTTTTTTCAATTCAATTTTTCCTTTTTATTACCGCTTTATTCCCGCCTCAGCATCCTTATATTATTATTATTATTATTATTTCTTCTTCTTCTTCTTCTTCTTCTTCTTCTTCTTCTTCTTCTTCTTCTTTTTCTTCTTCTTGTTATTATTATTATCATTATTATTATTTCTTCTTCTATATTATCATTTTTTCTTCTTATTGTTATTATTATTATTATAATCATTATTATTATTTTTTCTTATTGTTATTATTATTATTATTATCATTATTATTATTTTTTCTTCTTCTTCTTCTTATTATTATTATTATTATTCCTCTATCCCATCACTTTTTCCCCTGCGAAAAATATTTTCTTCGCTTAAATTCATATTCGTGTTTGTGTAGTTAATATAATTATGCTTTTTTACAATTCATCAAAAAAACAAAAGTTAATGACTTTTGTAGTAAATCAAGGAACCTTAACTAATGAGAAATGTCCACTGTTTGACTAATCGAGTCAATTCTTCTGACGATTGGGATTGTCTCTTAAATAATCGATCTCGTACCTTTTTTTCAAACTTTTCTACTGAATATAAAATGCATAAATACCCATAAAAAATAGAAACTTTTAAATGTTCCTCATCTGACCATCTTCAATGTAAACTTAGATGATTTTGTCAATTTCAAAAGGGAAAAAAAACGACAAACCAAATGAGCTGTTTTTGTTCTACTTCTATAATTGGCAAAATCATGTCTGTCCAGTCGTTTCATTTCAGATGTATGTGAAAAGATAATAAAACACTTAGAAGAGATACTAATTTCGCATGATGGAAATGGCTGAGCATTTCTCATTGGCACCACTGATCGCTGTTTCAAAACAAAGCTGCATTTCTGATGACCTAGTCAAGCAAGACCATTGCTACTTGAAATATGGACATAACACAATCACTATCGTCGCATTTACTTCACTGCGGCACTATGTCTGAATCAAGAAAAATATTGAAATGCTAATGAGAGAATGAGAGAAGTTAGAATTAATTTGCATGTAAAATCTCTCCTCCTATATGGCAGTGAATGCTGGACAATTTTCTTTGTAGACGAAATTGAGACTAGAATCAACAGAGATGTAGTTCAACTGATAAATGTTAAGAATAAGATGAACATAATACGTGAGAAAAGAAGAAATATTAGGGAAAATGGGAACGAAAAGGATACTTTTATTTCGAATCAGAAAAATACAGTTTAAATTTCTAGAAACATAATGAGGAAAGAAAGCTTGGAGAATTGTTGTAACCTAGGAAAGAATACTGAATAGAATAATCAAATGAAGGTTGGTAATGAACGATAATACTTAGGACAAGAACAACACATATAAGATTCGCCAGCGGCGCGTAGAAGTAGTCAACTGTTAGAAGTGAATTCCACAATGAATCTTCAACTGTAGGATATTTACCAACCACCCCACGCGATCAGATGTCACATTGGTGAATTTAATGTGGGGTATCCGAGTCCGTAGGCTCGGCCAAAAATTTCCCGGAGACCCACTATAAAACGGGATCGGGTAGCTGTTTACCGAGACGAGAATTCGCCCTTCGGCATAATCTCGTCTTGAGATCCTCTCTGTCCGAAGGCAGAGAGTTTCACTAGCACAGCTGGGGACGAATCTCCAACTGCAGAATATCTACCAACCGCCCCACGCGGTCAAATGTGGCACAAGGCCCAATTTAATGTGGGATATCCGAGCCCGTAGGCTCGGCTAAAAATTCCCCGTAGACCCCGTTTTATACGGGGTCGAGTAGCTGTTTCCCGACACGAGAATTTGCCCTTCGACATAGCCTCGTCTGGGGATCCTCTCTGCCTGGAGACAGAGAGTTTGACCAGCACAGTTGAAAACGAATCTCCGACTGCAGACCAACATACAGTATTTACTACTGCATTTATGTGAATGGGGACGTAGATATGCTACAAGAATTTAATATTCACAAGATATATTGAACACAAGAGGAGCAGAGGGAAACAATAACCTACCTAATGAGTAAATGAATGACAGAGCAATGGCTGGGAGAGTTGATAAGAATACAAACGTTGCTTAGAGCTACAAAGGACAGCAATCTGTGGAAAGCCATGACCGCCTATACCCTGAGAGGACACGACACATATATGAAGAAGAAATTCGAGTTAAATCCATGACATTTGAGATCATCGAGTTCTATGTTGAATAAATGTTCTTCGGAGAATTTCTCAGGTCAGTGGGAACGAATTGGCGGCACCCATCTACTCTCCAAGCAACACACGACAGATTATACTGGCTTATACGGTATCAAATATCTGGAATATTCCTCGAAGTGACCTATTCTTGAGAAAGATAGTAGCGTGGCTTTCAGGTTCCTTCTTTACAGTTTTAAATCCAGTGTCATCCTTCTGGATATGCGGCCTGTGCAACGGTTAACGGCCCTGAGAGAAAAATCGGCAAGGCGAGTTCGAATTACGGCCGAGTTAGTTGCGCTCATTTTTGTGTAAATACGATTCAGAAAGGGGTATGAATCCATCTATGGGCTAAATAGCAAGGATGACTTGACTTTCATGCTTTGGGGTGGCATCAAAAAAAGAAAACTTTGAATTCAAAACCACCCTGACGAGGGATGGGCCCCGTCAGGTTATTTTGCCCTATACACATCACTGCTGCTGTGATAGCATTTCATGAGATGCTTCTAATGGATTACGGGACGCCTGATGTAACATGTTGCAATCCTTCTCTTAGACCGACTGACATCCAAGGCTAGAGAGTTCAGACTATCCTGCTATTTAACCCATAGGTGAGGTTCATATTTTTCTTGAATGTATTAAGGATAAATTGAGCTAGGTGTAGCTTTGTCCAACAACGCTAGATAGTAGAAAACCGAAATATTGACTCGAGTCACGTTCTTAAATCGCCTCGTCAGATCGAGACTTTCATATGGATGCAATGAATGGCGTCCAACTCGCTCAAAATTGCCTTAACTATCAGCTATATTGTTATGGTGGAATACACCTATTCTATAGTTAATAGACTCTCCAACCTATAATAAGTAGGAGTAGTAAGGTCAGTCAGTCAGTCGATGTCGGACGACAGTTAGTCGAATACGAAAGTATCAGCGACCACAACTAGATTACTCTGCGTAATACCTATTATATCAAGTTCCTAACGTTTTGTACGTCGAACCTATTTTAGGACCGACTTAGTACAAATACAAGTCTCCACTGCAAAATCACTCCACAACATATATACGACCGTTTTCTCATATCAAAGATGAAAAATGGATTCAAGCGAATGAATCCGCTAGACAATCCTCCATCAGATCTTATAAACTGGCGCTACAGAAACACAAAGAGCTTTGCCAAATAACAAAAACCATATCCCTTGAAGACTTCCAAAAGTAGCAACAACTAAAATGGATATCATATGTAACTAGAATGGAAAGTAATAAAATTTACTTTCCACATTACGTTAAACAAAATGCTAGGAAAGAAACCACCAGAAATAATGTTAACAGTTACTGAACTTGTTCGTTTTCTTTTTTAATCATTTCATCCCAAGCAGGGCAGTAAAGTCACTAAGATGCAAGGGGTTACTAAGTGTGAGAAAAATATGAGAAAAAAAAACACGGAGAAATAACAATAGGAGAACAAGAATTAAGAAGAGTTGAATAACCTATTTTCCTGAAATCCGATTTTAAAAGAAAATTTTATAAATTTCAACCGGCAATAAATCTCTAACTGTTCGGTCAATATCTGCCGAACATTTTTTTTTTTCTGTTTGAAAACGGTAAATCTCACCGTTACCGTTACAATTGTCATTAGCGCTAAAATAAATATAACAAACACAGTCAAAATTTGGATTCTGGTGGCCAATTCCATTTTGAACGACGATAACCGTTTGCTACCCACACAACCACAATCTAAAGCAATATAGCAATGTAATATTCAGTGGTAAAAGAGATGTTGGAAAAATATCAGAACCTTCATAATAGTACCTTTCGCATTCTTTGAAGTAATATAACTACAACTACTTCCGTGTGCCGTATCCCTCCAGAGCGTGGGCTATCAATTTTTTGAGGTTTCCGTACAGAGCAAACGATTTGTCTGTCTTCGGATAGACAACACACCCCCTTGTTAATGGCGTTGCTGTGTGGCCTTAAAATGATAATGAATTTACACTATTTACATTGTTCGGACTGTTGCCCTCATATTCGTTGTCGTATTCACGACGTTTCGGTCGTTATATGCTCCAGTTTTCTTCAGGTAATATAAGCCGAACAGAATCTTTTATTTAGTTCATTGGGATAGATTATAGACAGATGCCAATGGATGTGATTGATTAGAATAAAAGTGACTTTAAAAAGGAAAAGTAACGTCAGTTTTTTCTCGTGTCTTTCGTTTGATTCTTTTCTCCATTTTTTAAAGACAACAGGAAATTCAAATGAAATGTGACGTTTATATATTTAGGTCAAAAAAATAAGGCAAGGCCCCAATTAGGAATTATAAAGAAAACGTTTATTTAATGATCTCAGACTTGCTTGGACTATGGTATTGGCAATGGTAAAATTAGTCGTTTCTCAAGTCCACTGTTATTCGCTCTTTCTAGTATAAATAGGGGTGTCTTTCCTAGCCTTTTGTTTAATTGTTGTGGCCTTGTTAGGGCCAGAAATAAAGACACAAGATAAGAATTGAGTTCAACAAATATATTAACAGAAACAGTAATAGAAACGAGAGTGTTATAGCAAAAATGTTCGGTCCGAATGTCAGAACTGACGGCTGGAAACTTCCCTCTCCAAAAGGCAGTACCTGCTCCTATTTATAGCTGGGAGAGTCCATGCGTGCCTGGGTAAATTACCATAACATTAATGTATTGTGGAATGTCAACATCTTCATCATTTTCAATTTTTTCTCTTTGTGTTACTTGTTCTACAGATTTTAGTGGCGTGGTCTTATTATTCTGTAATGTTCTTTATTCGTGGTTGTGTAACGCCAGACAATGAGATTTGGTGTAGTGTAGCCTTTTTTACAATCTATAGGATTCATTCGCTTGAATTAATTAATAATTTAATCCTTGATCTGAGAAAACGGTTGTATACAGCTGATAGTTTAGACCTTCCTGAACGAGTTGAACGCCAGGCGTGACATCCACAATATATGCCGAGGCTATTTAAGAATATGACTCCAGTTCTTTGTTTAATGTTTTGTTTTGGTCACTCTCGGTCCTTCTAAATGGCAGAGAATGAGGGGCAATCTGCTCAAAGATGAAGAAGGGACTTAAAACAGCGTCATTCTACAGAAGGATGCTGAGAATACCATGGACTGAACATGTGAACAACGACGAAGTTTTAGAGAAAATGGAAACAAAATGGACACTTATATTATGAATCAGAAAGAGATATTTGAAATGTCCAGGGCACATAATGAGGAAGGGGGCTTGGAAAATCTAACACTCACAAGACAAGTGGTTGGCAGAATATGGATTAGAACAGATAGCAAAAAGACAAATACTGCTAAGAGCTACAAAGACGGGAAGTTGGGGAGAAACGTGATAGCTCATTTGTTGAGAGCTACAAGGGATAAAGGAATTGGGGAGAGCCATGACCGCCTACGGCCTGAAAGGACATGGCACATAAAAAGAAAGAAATTCTGGGTTGCCTTGAATAAAATGAATGTAATCTGGAAATCTGATCTATCAGATAACCTCAAGCGGAGATTCATTCGCGCCACTGTAGAGGCGGTGTTAGTGTATGACGCTACTGCTTGGATATTAACTTAACCCCTAGAGTCTAAGTTTGATGGGACCAACACTCGGATGTTGAGATCTATACTTAACATCGTTTGGAAACAACATCCAACTAAATCACAGGTCAATGGCTCCTGATATTTCTACAATCTTATGTGAACGCAGAATGCGCTTTGCAGAACACTGCTGGCGAGCAAAACAAGAACGCGAATGATCTACTGCTCTGGAAACCTAGCCATGACGCCCGGCATCTACTTATATTGGCCAGCTATAAAGGGAGACATCAAAGAAGAAGAAGAAGAAGAAGAAGAAGAAAAAGAATTGATTGATAGCTAGAAATAAGGATGATAAAATGCAAATAAGGTCACAAATGGAATAAAAAGAAGGTAAAACAGAAATATAAAAATGAGATAAAATCAAAATGAAGTGAATGAAAAGATTAATTTTTTTTCTTAAAACAAGGTTATTTTGTCTTTCAATGTGTTTCAAATGTGTTTAAAAATACTTATTAATATTTTTACTTTAAAGTAATTTAAACTGAGTTACTTTTGTCTTTCAAATAAATGCGTTTCATGTGAATCTTCTACAGTACTTTAAAATATTAATTAATAAAAATTAATTTCATTTTATCTTTGAAAGCCATTTTTTGCTTAATTTAAATATTACTTTTTTTTCTTTTTTTTTTTTTAAGCATTTCACCCCAAGCAAGGCGGGAAGCCACTAGGACGCAAGGGGTTACAGAAAGTTTAGTGCAAGATCAGATAGGAATGATAGAAGAAAGGATGAGGAGAAGGGTAGTGGATAGATCAAGGCAACTGGAGATGTCGATTGACATTACACTTAAATAGCTGGAGATTATAGCTCACAGGGAAACAGGAATAGGGAAGGGAGTTCCACAGGCGAGAGGTGCGAGACATGAAGCTATTAGAGTAGAAGAGACGGCTACATTTAGGAGTTTCGACAGTGAAGGGGTGAGAGCGGGATGCCAGCCTCGTAAGGCGCTGGAACTCATGACGTCTGGGAACCAGCGAATGCAGCTCCTCGGAGCAATTTCCATGAAAGTATTTGTAGAACAGACAGAGGGAGGCGATGGCGCGTCTGTGAGAAAGTGACTGTAGACGAGACGCCAGGGCAGGGCCAACTACATTGCATATCCGCCTCTGGAGCCTATCAAGAACCCCGAGGCAAACAGAAGGGGCACCAGACCATATTTGGGCTTAATATACTATGCGGCCCAATAAAATTGCGAATTTTTTAATGTAGCCCTTGCACTGAAACGTTTGCCGATCCCTGAAATACGCTATCTGTGGTCTTCCCTTTTATACCCTTTTAATTATGTCTTCAATTAAAATTCTATTCCTCTAATTATACCGGCATATATTTGATTAACACTCTATCCCATATCTTTTCCTTCGATGTGCTGTGTACCTTCAAGATATGTGCGATCATTACTCCCCACAACTTTCTATCCTTTGCAGCTCTTAGTAAGTCTTGCTTTTCACTATCACTCTCACTCCTGTTCTGAAAATCATTTACACAAGCCTGTTATGTAGGTTATTCAGTGTTTCCCTCTCTGTCTCTTTTGCCT